ACTGCCGCTTGATCATCATTTACTACTTGAGTTTCGATGGGAATTTTGAATGTAAACTTAACACCATCCGGATAACGCCAAATTGAAAAGCTTGTGATTTGATAGGACAGCTAGGCAGGTCATTAATAGGTAGTAAATAAGAGGGCCAAGAATAATTCCTTGAGGAATCCTGCTAGGACAATCGACGGTAACTGGGGCACTATTAGGCGAAGAGTAGTCTGAAACATCTGAAAAAGTTTCGTTTCTGAAAAAGAACGGAAATTTATTGTAATTAAGATGAGCTGGTGACGTAAATACAGAAAAAAAAACGCAGAAAGCGTTAAAGAATCACACAGAAAGAAGCGTCAATCGAAAACGATGAAAAAAGATTTCTCTCTTTAACCTTTATTACAAATCAATCACAAACTGAACTTCTAGCAAACTGAACAAAAGTTACCCGTTACAATTGTATCTCAGTTGTTAAGTAAGTTCTTTTGCTCCACTCCTTTGGGATGACAATTTGTCCCTTTGGACTGACATCAAGATACGATTTAAAGTAACCACAAAATACGATTTAAAGTAACCTTGATCTTGATTTTCAGTACGAATACAGACCGCGAAAGCGTGACCTATCGATCCTTTTGAATAAGAAAGTTTCTTGCAAGAGGTGTCAGAAAAGTTACCGGGGATAGCTGGCTTGTGGCGCAAGCGTCCATAGCGACGTTGCTTTTTGATCCTTCGATTTCGGCTCTTCCTATCATTGCGAAGCGCCTCTTCCTTCCTATCGCCAAGCGTTCGATTGTTCACCCACCAATAGGGAACGTGAGCTGCGGAGCTGGAGGCATGAAGCTAGACCGTCGTGGAACGGTTAGTTTTACCCTACTGTTGACTAGTTGTTGCGATAGTAATCCTGCTTAGTACGAGAGGAACCGCAGGTTCAGACATTTGGTTCATGCACTTGGCCGATCGGTCAATGGTGCGAAGCTACCATCTGTAGGATTATAACTGAACGCCTCTAAGTTAGAATCCCACCTAGTCAAGGCAATGATAACTTTGCTCTCTCGGTGTCGGGAGGCACTTTTATGTAGTGGTAACGCTAGAGCTTATGCCCTATCAGATGGCGCTTGCTCGTCAGGTGAATCCTGGCGAGTTGCTAGAGCTGGATCCACTTCTGGTTTCTTGAGGGCACAAGATCACTTGCATACGACTTGATGGTCAAGGTGTTGTACTCAGTAGAGCAGTATAGCTGCGATCTGTTGAGACTCTGCCTATGATTGGTTGGTTTGTTTAGTCGTTAGCTGTTTCAACGTTTTGCGTTCTTCGGCTTCTCTCACGGGTTCTTCGCGTTCTTCGCGGTCTTGAGGATTACTGCGATAGTAATCCTCAAGACCACGAGTTATTGCAAGTTTTTGTCGTGAATTGCCATTCCATAAGATTTTCATAGGTTTAACGACGGTAATGGCTTTAGAGGAGACGGCGACACAAAGCCAGTTCCAGAAGCCAGTTCCATCGTCTGGGATTCCATCGTTTATCTCTAGGATCTGGATCTCTGGAAATAAAGGATTTTAAGCACAGCTTCATCTTGATAAGTCCCTGAAAATGAACGGCTCAGAAATTGGTTTAAAAATTAAAACATAACTTACAACGCTATTCATGCAAATCTATGTCTTATCCTTTTCAATTTGCTTTTCGTACCTAACAATGATCATAAAGTTGACAAATATCAAGTGGGGAAAATGAAAACGGCAGAAAAGAGGGTACGGTATTTGGGGCACTTCTTAGAAAAGACGGGGGAAACGGCTTTTATGGTATCTAAGTAAGATTTTCGCCTGGAATTTCAACTTTACCATTGGATTTGGTCTAAAACCTTGGCTTTGGCTTGATCTGGCTTGGAATTTATGAGAAATTCAGCCAAAAACAATTAGAAATTCGCTCTTTTGCTTTGAAATTTGACTTTTTTTTTTGCTAATTCTATTGCAAGTTCATTAAAAGAATTGGATTTGCAGCGAAAATAGAGAAAAATAGAGAAAAATGGACTTAAGATTGACTATAAGATGATCATTTTGACTATTTTGATCTTAGAAACTTCATTTTTAAAAGATTTTCGATCTTTAAGTTATACAGGGTGCGTCATAATTCTTGCAACAAGATACTCAAGGCATTGCACACCAAGAAGTTTCACTGAAAGAAGATTTTTAAACAGAAATAGCTTTATTTAACAGTTACAAATAAGGAAGCAAGAGATCATTCGATATGACCGCCTTTTGCCTTGATAACAGCCCTTAATCGGTTCGGATATGCCTCCACTGCGGCCCGAATGTCAGCTTGAGGAGTCGCCTTCCATCCTTTGGTCAAAGACTTCTTCAAAGAATCCAAACTTGTGTGTTTTCGAGAGCAGACATTAGCCTCTAAGATTGCCCAAATGGAAAAGTCCATCACATTGAGATCCGGTGAGTTTGGAGGCCATTCGGGATCACTGAGGGAAAGTTGGCCACACACCAGTCCTGAACCGTCTTCTTCGTGTGAGCGGGAGCTCCATCTTGCATGAAGGTCCAATTTTGATTGTTATTGGCTTTACACGCCCATGACATCACATTCTTGACATCACAAACGGTCTTTGAACTCTTGTTGCAATAATTATGACGCACCCTGTATGTTTATTCTTTGATCTTTATAATTTCTTGTGAGACCGTGTCTCGGTTTAATGGTAGATGTCTTGAAAACGCACAATTTATCAAAAAAATTTCCCTTATTAGGGCAAACTTCGCTTAAACTGGAGCAACCTGGCGCTATCACAATTACTTCAACATTTGCGTGTGAAAAAAAGGATGAATAGAAAAAGGAGCCCACAATTCACTCAAAACAAAGCTTAAATAATGAGTTTTTAAGTAGACAAGCTACGACAAACGGACAACTGAATATCGTCTAGTGGTTGATTACGGTAGTTTATCCATCAAACTTTGAATTTTAACTTGTGTATTGAATTTTGACTAACTGCAGAGCAGTGGCAATTCGTCACACTTAGTAAAATGATTTTAAATCGAAATTTTAAAAAAATTTTATAAAGTAATAAGCAATCAAGTTTTTATTAGCTAAAATATCAGTTATTTAGTAAAATATTTTGTTAACAAAATGTTCTATTTTCTTTTTCTATTTGTTTTTCAGATTTTCCTATCATTTGATAAACATCTGGTGAAGGGAAATCCAAAAAAATTGTCCCCAAAAAGGTCACTTTTCACTTTGAAGGTCAATTTCTTTTGCAGTAAACGAAAATTGGATATCGATTTGGCTCTTTGCATGTAGAATACATGTAGTTCTTTGCACTACATGTATTCTTGGATAATAAAAGTTTATTTAAATCGAAAAGCCATTCAACTTTTGCTTTAAACTTTTCTGTTAACTTTAAACTTATAAATTAACAATTTGATTTTAGAAAGATTCATTGTAAATCAAAAGGAACTATCTATTTAAACAACTAATCAAACGAAACTTTCTAAAAAAGCTACCCTAACCTTGCTATTTATCAAATAGCAAGGTCAAGGTAGCTTTTTAAGGTAAATCTATACAATAAAATTGAGTGATTGAATGAGAACTGGTAATTTTATTGTTACCATAATCTTTTATCCAATCTATCTAATTAAGAAGATATCGAAATACCGTATTTTCTCTATAGAAATTTTGAAATCCATATTTTCTCTAATAGTAGTGCACCCAGAGCGTCGTCTAAATTCCTCGAAATCTCGAGAACCGCTTATCAGAACCTATCGATGTGGGGTCGGAAAATGTAGCTGACGATGAGATCTTGTAGATTAGAGTGTTGAGCTTCTGTGAAAACCTTGAAAGCCGTAAAATCGTCACCAACTCGGCTCGCCGGTGTGCACTACTATTAGAGAAAATGCGGTAATAGTCTAATTTTTGGAGTGGGACTCACATCTCTTCATAGGTATTAGTAATCTTGTTGTTTTGTTTCAATGGAAAAGAATTCTGGTACTTATCTCCCCCTCTCTACTCAAAAGTTTGAATTTATCAATTTGCATGTACCGTATTTTCTCTAATGGTCGAGATTTAACTGAACCAACCACGGCTGGTGCGGTGATCTCAATTCTTTGTGTCCTTTTCATCACTTTCATGTTGTTCAACGATCTTTTAGCGTATAGACGTGTGAGTTTGAATAATTTGCTGAAATAAGCAATCAAAACTGATTATATGATTTGTTTATACCGTATTCTCTCTAATAGTAGTGCACCCAGAGCGTCGTCTAAATTCCTCGAAATCTCGAGAACCACTTATCAGAACCTATCGATGTGGGGTCGGAAAATGTAGCTGACGATGAGATCTAGTGGAGGGATTTGAGTGTTGAGCTTCTGCAAAAGCTTGGAAACCGTAAAATAGTGATCAACTCGACTCGGCTTGGTGACTACTATTAGAGAAAATACGGTAATCGCTTTGCCCTTGATTTTCTCATATTTTTCTATGTTTTTGAAACATTTCTGGGATAATCGATGTAGCTGGATCAATCGTTGACAGTTTTATAGTAATTTCATAAAGTTTAGTAGCTGTTTGAGCTTGCGTTTGAGCTTGCCCTTTTATTTTCCCTTTCATAACCCGCCCATAATTCTAAACCTTACATTTAAATCCAAAATTACTTAAGATTAAGTTTAAAATTGTTAAGAAAGATGAAGAAAGCTTTTGAATAAGTATAAATGTTGTAGTTTTAAGCTAAGATTACGATAATTTATATTACGATAATTACGATTACGATTACGAAGCTAAGATTACGATAATTAATAGCTTTTAGACAGCAAGAACATCTTTTAAACATAAAGATTTTTACAATAGGGAATTTTCCCCAAAAAAATCACGTGATTTGCAGGAGGCGGGGCACAAAAAAAAAAGACAAAAAAAGACTCATCAGGCCATCCCCTGAAATTTTTATCTTTTCCTTATTGTTCTTGAAAGAAAACTTGAAAATTCAATCAATTCCTTGATTTCAACTAGAAAATTCAATCAATTCAACTAGAATGTTAGACTTAAAACGCTTAAAACCGATCGATTTTGTCAACATTTCTGTCGTCGTCTCTTCTTTATTAATATTTTACTTTTTTCAGCAAATTTTGCCAGGTTTGAGGAAATTTTTGTGATTTTTGATGATATTTAACTTTAGAAATGTCTCAAGGAGTTTTGCTCAATGAGGAACATAAAGTGAATGGAGTCACATTGAAAGCAAGTGGTCAGAGGTGAGTTTTTGATTTCAAATCATCATCATCATAATTAAAAAAAGGAAAGTAACAACCACCTTTCAGTAACAAGCACCTTTTCTCAGTCCAACTAGACTTCTAACCCTTTTAAGTTTTCTAAATTTAAGAATTCAAGCTCCGAGTGATTCAGAAGCCGATTCAAAAGCCAATTCAAAAGAGTTAACAGCTAACAGCTAACAGCTAGCAGCTAACAGCTAGCAGCTAGCAGCTAACAGCTAACAGCTAGCAGCTAACAGCTAGCAGCTAGCAGCTAACAGCTAACAGCTAACAGCCTTCAAACACCTAGAATATCAAAGACTTTAATGATCTCTTAAACATAGCAATAGCTTAAAGAAAAGAAATTTCTTCTAAGCTGTCATGCTGATCAAAATAGAAATTTAACAAGCCAGAAGAAGAGCTGTCATGGCTAAATACAAAGCCTTGATGAAGCCTAGACAGGCCAATATAGGCTAGTTTAGTCCAAGCGAGAACAGGAACTTTTTTAGAACTTTTGTAACTAAGTTTTACATGCTAATTTCTTTATCGGTTTGTTTTTAGAAGTTTAAGCCTTCCAGAAACCAAGCTTAGTTTGACTAGGGAAAGGGATGAACTCAAGGTGAAGCATGAACCTCAAGGTGAAGCATGAACCTCAAGGTGAAGCATGAACCTCAAGGTGAAGCATGAACCTCAAGGTGAAGCATGAACCTCAAGGTGAAGCATGAACCTCAAGGTGAAGCATGAACCTCAAGGTGAAGCATGAACCTCAAGGTGAAGCATGAACCTCAAGGTGAAGCATGAACCTCAAGGTGAAGCATGAACTCAAAGTGAAGCATGAACTCAAAGTGAAGCATGAACTCAAAGTGAAGCATGAACTCAAAGTGAAGCATGAACTCAAGCTTTTCTGTGAACACCTAGTGCACTTTATAGAATCGGATTCATTTTGCATTTAAATTACATTTAAATGTTGAATTTTAATCTAAATTTGCAAGAAATATGTGCAAATTGTGCAAAGAATATACGGTCGAAGGAAATAAAAGTAAAACTATGAAATTAGCTGCAAAATGTTGAAAGTTGCAAAATTAGCTGAAATTGGCTGCAAAATGTTGAAATTAAAAACCATGAAATTATGAAATGAAAACATTTCAACATCATGAAACAAGATGTTGAAAGTTGCTCGTAAAGAGGAACAAAAACAAAAAGCTGCATCAGGGATTGAACCGTGACCGTGTGATTGAAAGGCTAATGCATTGTCCACTAGGCTACCAAGATCCTTTTGCTCACCTAGGAAGGAGCGTTTTAAAGTATCCGTTTTGATTTTCGATTGAATTTTTGCACACCTGGAAAGTCATTTGGCAGTCAGATCAGATTTTGATTTCAGATTTGGATCAGATGATTTTGATTTCAAATTCCGGTTCCTCATATTCGATTCGATAAAGTGCATTAGGTGACCAGACAAAACCAGAGACCAGAGAAGCTCACCTTGAGTTCGTGCTTTTCCCTAGTGAATCGGATCCTTGTTTTTTTGATCATTACTTGCTACTATCTTGCTATATATAAAGCAGAAGAGACGTCTGTTCGTCTGTGTCTATCTACTATATATGAAACGTCTGTTCATCTGTTCGTCTGTTCGTCTGTTCGTCTGTTTGTCTGTTCATCTGTTTGTCTGTTCGTTTGTTCGTCTGTTCATCTGTTCGTCTGTTCGTTTGTTCATCTGTTTGTCTGTTCATCTGTTCGTCTGTTCGTCTGTTCACAGCCATTGGCAAAAAGAGGCGCGGCTTAGATTGCGTGGAAAACGTGGACTTTCCCAGTGGAAAACGCAAACGTTAGTGAGCATTTATACTAAATAGCAGGCTGCGATTTAGTATAAAGTCTTTAGATTTCATTTGGATAAACTTTAAACCCTTATCTACCTTATTCATTTCTCACTTTCAACATTTAGCGACCTCTCAACTCTCCCATGGCCAACCGGGCTTAACGGACGCAAAGTAAATGACGGAAATCTTGATGAAACAATTGTAAAGGTACAAAAGAATTCCAAGCTGATAATTTACTTTATTTTAACGTTAAACATTCTTTACAGCCAGTTCCCGCAAATCCATCGAAAGAGCTGATTGTGCGAGTGGATGGATCGACGTTGTATCGAAGCAAAAACGGCAATTCATTCAAAATTCTCATCAAAAATGAAGAAAATGTCGTAGAATATATGTAAATTTTCTCTATCGTTTAGCAAATATATTCATTTTTTAGAATCCCATCAAAAAACGGGGTTCAAATCGAGGCGAACACCGCTCATTCTTATCCATTTGGCGATGATGGTGGGATTGAAGAGGTGTCAAGACAGGTATTTTGACAAAAGAACTCTTTTTTAATATTGTAAAGGTAAAGTTTCAATGAATTTTTATATTTTTAGACAAATGGTGTCACACTTCTTAACAATTTCAACGAACAATCAGCGAAAGTCGAGCGAAAAACATTGGAGCGAACATTTGTTGATGGGACTTTACAGCTAGAGGTAAACAAGAGTCGTACTTTGGGCTTCGGAAAACGCATACCATTTGGCACACTTCCTCTAGTTTATAATCTATGTTTTATAGGTTTTTACAGCTTTCTGAAAGATAGTTTTAGGTTCAAGTACTTCCAGAAGTACTTCCCGAAGTTCAAGTACTTCCAGAAGTACTTCCCGAAGTTCAAGTACTTCCCGAAGTTCAAGTACTTCCCGAAGTTCAAGTACTTCCCGAAGTTCAAGTACTTCCCGAAGTTCAAGAGTACTTCCCGAAGTTCAAGAGTACTTCCCGAAGTTCAAGAGTACTTCCCGAAGTTCAAGAGTACTTCCCGAAGTTCAAGAGTACTTCCCGAAGTTCAAGAGTACTTCCCGAAGTTCAAGAGTACTTCCCGAAGTTCAAGAGTACTTCCCGAAGTTCAAGAGTACTTCCAGAAGTTCAAGTGTACTTCCAGAAGTTCAAGAGTACTTCCAGAAGTTCAAGAGTACTTCCAGAAGTTCAAGAGTACTTCCAGAAGTTCAAGAGTACTTCCAGAAGTTCAAGAGTACTTCCAGAAGTTCAAGAGTACTTCCAGAAGTTCAAGAGTACTTCCAGAAGTTCAAGAGTACTTCCAGAAGTTCTAGTACTTCCAGAAGTTCTAGTACTTCCAGAAGTTCAAGTGCTTCCAGAAGTTCAAGTGCTTCCAGAAGTTCAAGTGCTTCCAGAAGTTCAAGAGTACTTCCAGAAGTTCAAGAGTACTTCCAGAAGTTCAAGAGTACTTCCAGAAGTTCAAGAGTACTTCCAGAAGTTCAAGAGTACTTCCAGAAGTTCAAGTGCTTCCAGAAGTTCAAGAGTACTTCCAGAAGTTCAAGTGCTTCCAGAAGTTCAAGAGTACTTCCAGAGGTTCAAGCGTACTTCCAGAAGTTCAAGTACTTCCAGAAGTTCAAGAGTACTTCCAGAGGTTCAAGTACTTCAACTTTGGATTATTTTATTGAAATTTTATTTAAATTAAACGAATCCTTATCTTAATTAAACAACTGACAATTGCATAAAGAATTCAAGAATATTTAAGCTCTTGTAACTAACTTTTGTAACTTTAACTCTTTTAGGAGGCGACAACAAACGCTGCTTATGACGTGGTGCTCCAATCGAGCGTCGAAGGAGGAAAATTCCAGACAACAAGCGGGAAATCAGTGGATACGGTAGGGTTTTCGCAACTTAGAATCTTTTTTTTTGATTCAAGATGACTCCTGCAAGCTGGCCTCATTTAAACACTCCACTTTATCCATCAAGAGTCCCCACATTGGAGCAAGAGTTCACAATGGAATGGGTTGATCAAGGAGATACAAAGGAGATTCTCTTCAAGGTTTGCCAAAGAATTAAACGTAATTTGTACTGTATAGTAGACAGTATTCAATCAAGATAAAATTGATCCATTAAAAACTTTGATCCAATCTAAATAAATCCAATCAATCATTAAAAAGATCCAATCTAAATCTGACCGATTCGCAAGTTGACAACCAGATCCGAAACTTACCTATGACTTGCATCACTAGACATGGTATGAATCTTTAATGCTAAAGCATCTTTAAATATAAACCAGATGGTTTTTTATCTAGTTAATCAAAATTGTGGACATAACCCTAATTTGGTCTATAACATAAGACTTTGAGTAATAAAAAATCTAAGAGCGAAGCAGACTGTCTGGAAATTTTGCCCGGACTCGTTAAGCAGGTGATCCTCCAGGGCTGTGATCCTCCAGGGAAGATGATTTAATATTTTAATACTTGATAAACTATTGATAAACCAATTTACTTTAATCATTTCTACAGAAAACCATCAAAAACCTTCTGCTACTACACCTAAATTGCGATAATTTTGTCTGTAATAGAAGAACTTTAGAGGAACCAAATAGGAACTATAAAGGAACTTTAAAGGAACCAAATAGGAACTATAAAGGAACATTAAAGGAACTTTAAAGGAACCAAATAGGAACTATAAAGGAACCATAAAGGAACTTTCAAGCACCAAATAGGAACTATAAAGGAACTATAAAGGAACTTTAAAGGAACCAAATAGGAACTATAAAGGAGCCATATAAAAGGAACTATAAAGGACCATTAAAGAAACCAAATAACATAAAGCTAATTTGGTCTTTTCAGGGTCTATCCGGTCATCTAACCGGCGGTGAGGGTCGTCCTGGTGTCATCTTCGACAAAACTAGAAACATTATTTCAATCAATGTGAGATTTTGAGTGATTTTAACTAAAAATAAAAATTCTAGAATGGCATCTATCTATATGTCGTAGCCGATTATGAATGAAATTGTTTTGGCAAATCTTTCTAGTAGAGCAACCCTTTAATTTATGAGGACAATATTATATCATCTTGTAGCGAATTCAATTCTGCGTCGATTGGTACCAAATTTGTGAGTTTAGGTTAAAAATTGCCGGCGCTACAACGTTTCATTCAAAATCGGCGGGACGTCTGTGACCGATTATGAATGAGTGGGTCTAGGAGCGTCCAACCATCAAGTATTTAGTATCATTCAACGCAGAATCATTAATAATTATGTTAAATTTTTAAAATTAGAAAGATTGGATAAAAAGAAAAAATATTAGAGCAAAAAAACTGTTTGTTCAAGAGAAAACTTTGAAGCCTCATAATTTTTTTTCTTTTTATCCAATCTTTCTAATTTAAAAAATGTAGCATAATTATTAATGATTCTGCGTTGAATGATACTAAATACTTGATGGTTGGACGCTCCTAGACCCACTCATTCATAATCGGTCACAGACGTCCCGCCGATTTTGAATGAAACGTTGTAGCGCCGGCAATTTTTAACCTAAACTCACAAATTTGGTACCAATCGACGCAGAATTGAATTCGCTACAAGATGATATAATATTGTCCTCATACATTAAAGGGTTGCTCTACTAGAAAGATTTGCCAAAACAATTTCATTCATAATCAGCTACTTTTTCAGCTACTCCTATCTCGTCCAGACGGTTCATTCTTCATCTCAACCGATCAAGAGTTGATCATGATTGTGGCTCAATCGGATAGTAATGGAGAGCCAATAAAGGTGAGAAATGAAGATAAGACTGATTTTTTTTTTTTGTAATTCTTGATAAATCCCTTTTCAGAGCACTCTTGAAGCAATTATTTTCAAAAATGGAGCAAAATTACCAACTGGTTGGTGGCATTCGGTTCCTTTCCCTCGACCAAATCAACAGAAAATTCATCTATATGAAAAAGTGAGTCTTTTTTATGATTATCTTCATCAGATCAATAGAAAATAAGCTATTATACATGATTTTTAAAAATTCCCAAACTCTGCTAAACAAAAATGGCAGTTGGTTGGCAGTTGGCAGTTGGCAGTTTCCAGTTGGTCAAGTCAATTCAGTTCTCAGTTTAGTTCCTTGTTTCCGAGTTTATCTAAAAGGTTAAACCGATTAAAGTTGAGTTACAATTGATATACTTAATAAATAAATATCTCCAATCGATTCGCCGACGTCGAAAACCCTCGATCCAAATTTACAGCTGAATATCTTTTTTGTATCATCAATAAAGCAAGAGAAATCCTTATGTAAATGGCGAGGTGTTCTCTTTGCGGCCGCGTAATCATTCGCAGCCTGGCAAACCAATCGGGTATAAAGTGCTACCCTTTTGAACGACTTCTTTACTGCATGTGTAGCTTTTGAGAGATCAGGAGAACCGGGAAAGGTTGGATTTAGCAGGTCAACAAGAACAAGAACAACAAGGTCAACAATTTCGCGAGTAATGGAGCCAAAGGAAAACATTAAATCTTATGAGCTGAAAAAAAAGACTTTAAAAAGCTGAAAGCAAACATTTTAAGAACTCTAAAAAATGTTTTGCGAAACTTTTACAAAAAAGGCAATAGTGCGGGGAGAGGAATCGAACCTGGGAAGAAAAATGGAGTTAGATTGGTAGACTAACACACTATCCTCTAGACCACCGATGCCTTTATTCCTTGGAATGGAATGGTATCTAAATCAAGAACTGGATTAGCCAGTTAAGGGTTAAATTCGTTTGTGAATTGTTTCCTGAAGTGTTCCCTTTAAAAAGATACTTAACTCACTTTGGAGTAAAGGCAATCAAGTGCGTTGTGGTGTAGCGGTTAGCACAGTTGCCCAGTAAGCGAAAGGTCGCGGGTTCGAGTCCCGGCGGGGCAGAAGCTTTTGTTTTTTCTAGTTCTAACTTTATATTAAAAGTTCGCATTAATTTAATAGACTTTCAAATGAAATATCGAAGTTTAAGATAATAAATGATTCTAGATATCTTCCACTTTAAGATGATAAATGATTCTAGATCGCTAGATCGCTAGATAGCTAGATAGCTAGATAGCTAGATAGCTAGATAGCTAGATAGCTAGATGCTAGATGAGATACTAGATAGCTAATGCTAGATAGCTAGACTCTCCCACCTACCTCTCATCTCTGTCTCTACATCTCTAGATCTCTACATCTCTAGATCTCTACATCTCTAGATCTCTACATCTCTAGTCCTACATCCTAGACTCTACATCTCTAGACCTCACCTGATCTCACACCTCTACATCTCTAGATCGCTTTCTAGATCTTTTAAATGAAATATCGAACTTTCAGATGATAAAAGATTCTAGATCGCTTCCACTGATGCAAATATCGTTTTAAATGTGCTCGAGGAAGCCGGTGCTCCGCTTGTTATTCAACTTTGAAAAACAAAAAACGAGAAAATACAATTTTAAATCAAAAAAGAAATTGATTGCTTCAAATAAATGGTTGTTTTTTAAAGAAAAAGAAACATTTACAAAGAGTCATCAAAGAATTCAAACACATCAATTCATTCATTGCCTTTTGGAGAACTCTTTTCCCCCCAATTTCTCTTTGATTTCTTCCGCTGTTCTTTGTTTCTTCAAAATGATGCTGAAAATTTTGATTCTTCTCGGTTCTTTTGCATCAATTTATTCGATTTTTGGTAGAAAAACACTTTTTTTTGCGTTTTAAGTAAAAGATTTTAGAAAAACCTATTGAAAAATTCTCAAAAGAATGCGCTTTTTGTTCGGAGATACCAATTTTGAGGTGAGTTTGTTGGGATCTATTTGGGCAATGAAAACAGCTCAAAAAGATTGACTTATTCTTAGCAACAAATAGCTATTCTACAGGGGGAAAGCCAGCCTGAAGGTTACTGTAGAATACTGTGAAAAAATAGAGTCAGTCTGTCAATTTTCTCAGAGTTAGATCAAGCCAGATTTCAAGTTGCATTTCAAAAGAACGCAACGAATCAACTCTGACTTTGACCTGGAAGTTTTGGCTTACTAGGGATCCTTTTAGCTTGTGATCTAACACATTTTGTGCAGTTTTTTGCGCTGAATCTGATGGTGCAAATCGTTTGGAGATCACGGGTCTAAAGTTTCGAGATATTTAGCTTCAAAGTTTACACTAAATACTCGATCGCGATTTTGAACACGCAGCGTCATATCGACTTTACAGCAAACTCGAAACACGAGCTCGTGGACTAGTGGATGGTTTCATACGGTTCCAATACGTATTGGAATAAAATTGGAACCGTATTGGAATAAAATTGGAAGCGTATCAGAACCGTATTGGTATAAAATAGGAACCATATTGATTCTATCCACTGGAAGGTTCCAATACGGTTCCAATACGATTTCAATACGTATTGGAATAAAATTAGAAGCGTATTTGAACCGTATTGGTATAAAATAGGAACCATATTGATTCTAACCACTGGAAGGTTCCAATACTGTTCCAATTCGGTTCCTATTTTCTTCCAATATGATTCCAATACGGTTCCTATTTTCTTCCAATACGGCTCTTATTTTATTCCAAACTATCCGGATAGTTTCCAGTTCTAGACTTGTAAACATTTGTCCCAACCACGGATCCGTCATAGGCTCAACTTTTTGCTTTTACCATTCGATAAACTAGTTAGACGTATCCCGCTGCACTCCAGTTTAAAATTAGACTTCAGTTCCACATTTTAGCAGCCAATTGTGTTAAAGAAGATGCTAAAGTCTAATGTCAAAGTTTGCATAGAGTTACTGTAGTGAAGTGAAGGAATTAACAAAGAAAAGTAGATTTCCGGAGACAGGATTGAACCCTCGACCTTTTGCTTTCCTTTTGCCTGCTTTTCAATAGCTCTGATCTATTGGGTACATTGAGAAAGAGAAAGAAGGAAAGACAAGGGCGAAGAAGAGAGGAAGGAAAGAAGAAAGAAAAGAAGAAAGGAAGGAAGAAAGGAAGGAAGGAAGAAAGGAAGGAAGGAAGAAAAAATGACTAACTTTGATAGCAAAGATTGAGCTGTCGCTGAATCTTGATAAAGTGAAATATCTTGATGATCAATGAAAGCATAAAGTAAATACTGTCTGCAGAAGTAGAAATATGAAATCAAGCTGCTGTGAAAGTTTTCCCGGTTTAGTGATGACGGGACGACAACAGGGATCATCGATCACACGAGAGATTTCGATGGATGTCACGTTGTCTCTTTCATGTGTACAAATCATTTCTCACCGAGACAGGTAAATTAAAAATATGATTTGAAAAAAAAGGTTCCTAATTGAGGCATTCCTCTATCTGAACCATCGCCTTTTAAATCGTCGATCAACAATTTCAGCGATTTGTCGAAGTGATGGATGGTTTGTGAGAGGAATTTCTAAGGTGATTCAACAAAAATGAATTTAACTTTTTAAATTTAAAAGCTAGAGTGCTATTTGTTGCTTTAAAATATTGATATAACTATTTTGAGAAATGGGATTTATATTTTAAATCTCTCAACATCTCGACAAATCTCTTAACCAAGAAGGTTAGTGACTGGCTTAGTCTTAGTGTCAAAAGAAAATGTATTTGATTAACACAAAGTACAGGCAAGTACAAGCCATAAACTCCTAGGCTTTGGCTATTCTAAGAACTTACTTTCACCCATTTCAACCCCATTTCAACTAAACAATTTGAGAACTCATTTTTATTTCCTGGTTTGTCAGCAATCAAAGTAACTGGAATTGTTAGTAGCTGACATTGTTAGTGACTGGGATTGTTAGTGACTGGCATTAATGACTGGCATTGTTAGTAGCTGGCATTGTTAGTGACTGGCATTGTTAGTAACTGGGATTGTTAGTAACTTGGATTGTTAGTGACTGGCATTAGTGACTGGCATTGTTAGTAGCTGGCATTGTTAGTAACTGGCATGGTTAGTAACTGGCATTGTTAGTGACTGGCATTGTTAGTGACTGGCATTGTTAGTGACTGGCATTGTTAGTAGCTGGCATTGTTAGTAGCTGGCATTGTTAGTGACTGGCATTGTTAGTAACTGGGATTGTTAGTAACTGGGATTGCTAGTAACTGGGATTGTTAGTAACTGGCATTGTTAGTAACTGGGATTGTTAGTAGCTGGCATTGTTAGTAACTGGCATGGTTAGTAACTGGCATTGTTAGTGACTGGCATTAGTGACTGGCATTGTTAGTAGCTGGCATTGTTAGTGACTGGAATTGTTAGTGATTGATAGTATTCTTTTGATTAACTAATACTAATGAAGAAATATTCTTGTACATTTTAATGTTAAAAACTTTGTATTTCAATGTTCCTATCGTTCTAGCAAGAGCCGATCGAATCAATCTTCTGCTCATCACAAGCGTTGTAGATTGGAAATGGAAACACGAATCATTCTACTGAATAAATGAATTCTTGTTGAATGAATTCTTATTTTCGAAATTAGTTGAGAGTGAAAAATTAACAATATTTGATGAAAGCAATGAATCAACTCTGACTTTGACATGGAAGTTTTGGCTTACTAGGGATCCTTTTAGCTTGTGATCTAACACATTTTGTGCAGTCTTTTGCGCTGAATCTGATGGTGCAAATCGTTTGGAGATCACGGGTCTAAAGTTTCAACATATTTAGCTTCAAAGTAAACACTAAATACTCGATCACGATTTCGACCATGCAGCGTCATCTCGACTTTACAGCGAACTCGAAACACGAGCTCGTGGACTAGTGGATAGTTCCATACGGTTCCAATACGTATTGGAATAAAATTGGAACCGTATTAGAATCGTATTGGCATAAAATAGGAACCATATTGATTCTATCGACTGAAAGGTTCCAATACGGTTCCTATTTTCTTCCAATACGGCTCTTATTTTATTTCAAACTATCCGGATAGTTTCTATTGGGTTGGGGAGAATGAGTCGGCGCCCAACTTTAAAGGGACTTTTTGCACACATAAAGCCTTCTTTAAACATACATTTGGTTTCATCAAAAGGATCCACTATTTCTCTACAAAATGACTTTTGAGAGATTCCACAAAGCTTTTCTTTCGTGGAGTTTATGAACTTCGAAACGCAGCTGGTTAAAATGGCAAAGAGTCCGACTCATCATTTGAACAGTTTCTTTCACATAAACCTTCTTTGGTGTTTATATAAAAAAGATAGAGCACATTCAATTACTTAAGTTGCCAAATTTGCAGGAAGATCCCACCAATGGTTTTTTCTAGATCACAGTTTGTAGTTTTTGTGAAAAAATGGCTTTTTCTTGAGCGGAGGCGCTGTTTGAATTTTCTTTTAAATGTGATTTTGTAGAGAATTAGTTAACCATTCTACTGATATCAAACGCATATTATTTGAAGAAGTCGAATAGAAGTTTTAGACATTTTTTTGATTTTCGGCGCCGACTCATTCTCCCCAACCCAATAGTTCTAGACTTGTAAACATCGTCTGGAGATCACGGGTCTAAATTTATTGGTATTTGTCAGAAAAGATGTTTTTATGCTCAAAAAACAAAGCACATCCAACTTTTCGCTTTTCTCAAATGAACAGCAATGAACAGGCAGCAACAGCAAGCAACAGCAACAGCAACAGCAATGAACTATTTGCTAATTAAACGTGTAACTTGGTAGTTTTATATAAATAAATACTTTTAGAAAAGAGAAACAAACTCTATTTGAAAGTAGAAAGTTAAGAAATCGTTTTTGAAATGAAAACCGGAAATAATATTCTATAAAATTCAGAATATTATTGTGTTTTGATGTCCAAATCAATGTTCAAAGAGAAAAGAAAAAAAAAAAACGCTATTCACATCTGTTTATTTTTGCAAAACAAAAAGGAACTGAGAGGGAAAATGGAGATTTTAAGAGAATTACGAAATGGATTAAGAGAAAAAAAGAGGGAAATGGAAAAGGAAATGGACGATCATTTCCAGGAGAACCCATCTTTTTCCCTTTTTTTTTTCAATAGACTCATTTCGAGTCAATCTAAATGTTGTGGGTAGACATCTCCTCTTCTTTTTGTCTTTTTTCAAATAGCTTTTTTTGCTTTAAATGGCTTTAAATAGTTCCTAATAGCTTTAAAAACTCCTTTTTGAAGCCAGAAGAAGTCAAAGCTTATTTTGAAGCCATAGTTATGCTTCAGTAAGTTGAGTAAACTGATTTAGTAAACTTCGAAACTTCGAGACTCTTACTTGAATTCTAAACTTGCAAGACTGAAACTTCAGCCAGTTATTGGTGTTGGTGTTAAATCACTTCAACCTGGAATATGGGTTTTGGGATTAGTTGAGCCACCAGCAGGGTTATTCCTAAGGGATTTCTCCGGGCTAGGCAAGGCCAGACTCAAGTCAAGGCCAGGCTCAGATCAAGGCCAAGGTAGAGCAAGGCCAGGATCGGGCTAAAAGCAGGGTAGGGTCAGGGCAGGGTTAGGTCTA